CAGTATATTATTCATTAAATCGCAGTTAAATTCAGATACTCTTTTTTTATTGCATGCGAAGGGACGTTGTTTCCTAGTACTTTTACCATGTACTCATAAATTTCGGCCGCGCATTTACAGTTTGTCAATTTCTCCATTTTTATAAAAACTCAAAAGTACGTCGACTTTCCTACTGTAATTGAGGATTGATAAGATAAAGTCATGTTTGTCGATCACTGCCCGTATATTGCTCAAATTTGGAAAAACTATTATATGAAAAAAATTGAGCATTTTCAATATTTCTTGAAAAACCATTTTTTGAATCGCGACACTTACGAAAATAAGCGTATAGAGCAACAATGATGTTTCATGATATATCTGTATCGCGTTAGTCTATATTTTCAAACCCTTAAAACTTTTTCAAAATGTAACACTTTTCGCGGTTAAGTAACTAAGTTTCATTTCCTTCAAACCTTTGATTTAGCGGACCTCCGATGAAGAATATTTAATGATTACCTTGGTTCGACTACAACGTTTCAGTTTGTTTTATTTTATTTGTTGTATTACAATATCAATATAATTTTATCGCATTGATTTCGCCTATATATATGTATGTACATATCTTCTTTGATGTGGATCAATCACTCAGTGGATTCGCGTAACACGTTGACGGCAAAGAAGAAGTGTGGAAAGAAAAGCAGATAGGCAAAGTGATGGACGCAGCCTAGTGGGTGTTCGCCCAAACGCTACGTCTTAAGTCTTTATCAACTAAAAATTCATTATGGCTGCGGCCAGAGTAAACTCTAGCAGATATGGGATTTCAATCCACGAACGTTGGCTTGATAGTCGTTGTTCTTAGCTACTAGGCTACTCCTGCGGATGTTTACGCATATTTGGAAGAGGTCGACTAAGACTTTTACGCCTCTCAGTCTCATGTAAATCAAGAACTCCTTCTTTATATCTGCGATTCCATGTAAAAAAGTCGGTTAAACACAAAGGAACTAATGGATTAATTGGTTTAGTGATTAATGGATTATTGATTTAGTTGTTTGACTTGTTTCCTAACAATTTTCAACAATTTATTTCATGAGCATTTTTCATTCATTATTTTTAAGCAACTTTTAAAGTCTCTATTGAGTGCATCTGTCATAGATGATTCACATTAACGCTAGTCGTAAGTTATATTATTATTGTGTTGTGTCATACACATGCATCAATTAGAGAGTCTGAACTTTGCTTAACATTTTACATAGTTATAGTTAATGAGTCTTTTAGCCATGATTTATTATTTACACATTAACAGATCTTTTTTTTTATCTAGAGTTAGTCATTAGGCCTAATTCCCTAATCAAAGAAGCTTTATGCATCTAAACGGTTTTATGATAAGAAAAAAAGAGAAAAGAAACAAAACTAATTTCTTTTTTTTTTTGGCAGTGGTCACCTTTGTTTATTACAATTGGCCCTATTACCTATTAAAATCGATCGTGTTACAATCCATCAGTAAAGTGAGATTAACGGCTGCGCATTTCGTCAAATCGTAACTGGTTTCACCTCATCTTGACACTTCGCTGTTATTTAAAGTCACAGCAACCTAAGAATGGGCGAAAATTCTCTTAAATACTTTCTCTAATAAACATGGGGAACAAATTTCGGAGAGAAAAACATGATCAGAAGACATTTTTGTACTCAAAGGTATGTATAAATATATAAACAATTATACCGTTTCCAGAGAAGGATAGTTTAAATTAAACAACAACTAAAGAATACCGAAAAACAATCACATCCGTACTTAGGTTAGGTCATACCAACCTAAAAAAAATTAAAGGACTTTGCCTTATAAAAGAAAAAGAAATAGAAAGCATTCCAAATTTTAATTGTAAACGACCGAACATCATTACAGTCATTTATATTCGCTTTTCAAAATAAAGCCCTATAGGGAAGAGTGCTCGCCCTTGGGCCAAAAGCTGTGAGTGTATCAAATTTCATTAAAAAATTTGCTACCTTGAGGTTGAACATACGAAAGCACGAAGGACAAACAAGGTTAGATCTAAATCGATCGGTATAATAAACGGAAGTCTATCTCATGTCGTTCTGAGTCGTCCACACTTTCGTGCAAATTGATGTATCCTTGTCCCACATGGATACCGCAATCTGCCGCAGTTTCAATGCGGCAGGCATCACCTTGGTCATAGCGTAGTGATTGGTCAGTCGGCGAAGGCATAACACTTATCGATTGGGCACACACCTACCACGTTGCGGAGGCTTCTCTATCACCTTCTCTTTCTAGCCGTTACTGTATTGCACGAATAGCGAACATCCCCTAAGTCTCTTTTTCATATAATAAATAATTGGAGGGAAAAAAAGGGATGTAGAAATGATGTAAAGAAAAAAAAATCCGCGTTTGCATGAAAAGTAATTGAGTACACATAGGATTTTCGTTGCAATATCACTTCTTATTAGCTCCTTTTTAGATTACATCGTTAGTTCATTTCGGAGCTACAGCTGATATTAATACAGATTTACTAAGATTATCAGGCGAGTAATCATGCAAGCAGGCCACTATGAAGTAGGCGATCATCGGCACGAGAATCTAATCATGTTTCTCAATTACGTCCAATCTGGCGACAATAAAATTGTGGTCGCTGAGAGCAAATTTGCATTAGTGCAAGCAAAGTTACCACAAGTCTCGCTTTCAGAGTTGCGTTTGAAAAAAAAGGCAGCTGCAAAGGAAAAACATAAATAGCCGTTAGAAAATGAATTATAAATTCAAAAATTCAGAAACGTTAAAAACAAACAAAGTATGTCCGAAATTACTTTTCGTGGACTGTGATGAGAAAGAAAAAAAATCTTGGTAAACCTAAGTACAACTTTTTTTTTGGATATCGAGCTAAATGAATTAATTTATCAAGCAAATTCTATACAAGTTTCTATTCACTTCATTTTACATGCTTCTTCTTGTTCACCACATGTAGTTTTTTTATACAAAAAAAAAAAAAAAAGTCAATTTGGCTCTCATTTTTTACATTTCTCTCCGTTATTAAGGCAGTGTAATGGAAAACTTGGGATTAAGTATTGAAAACTTGGCGACGGTAGTAACTGATCGGCTTCTTGACGATAGTTAATTGTGTCCTAAGAACAACCAGACGATAATCACGGCGCTAATTGCCTGCTTACATGATTACTCCCACTTTTTTAATTATTCTTTTGCGCACCCTGTGGTTCGTTTCGCTTTTGTTGCCGTTGAGCTGTAACGAAGCGTATAAAAAAATTAAACGTATTTAACAAAATGTGCACGATTTGGTATGAAAGCAACAAAAGTTCGATAATTAAATCACGACAAACTCGTCGTTTAAATTGCTTGCTGCGATATGTTATCAATAATGGCTCAAGAGCAGCTCTGTCTTTGATGGTAGACGCTGCTATCCACAACCTCACTTAATAACGGGATTCTGTTGTTGTTAAAAAGAAGAAGAAGATTCTCTTTGATTCCGTTACTGTACTTCCACAATTATTATATGCTACCGAAATTTTGCATATCGTTAGATGGAAAATTTCGCAGCAAAATTGTTGTGCCCCATACTTCAGTCGTTCCCACACAAAATGTATCCAAATGTTGGGCAAAGTAACGAAATTTGGTGTTTCTAAAAGCTTCCGGCGGCTTTTAAGATATCAAAAAAGCGCAGTAGCCTTACGTCCAAGAAAGTTATTATAACTCGATTTTTACACAGTATTTTTACTGCATCTGTACGCGACTGTTAGAGCCAATAACTTGGCTTTTTTGTAATTATAACTCAAAATTTAATTGGTTTTTTGATCAGCATGTCTCCTACTATTCTTTAAGCTTAATATCTATTTAATAGTATTTCCTTTTCTTGCTAATTTTCTTTTAAGTTGATCAGTATTCACACGTGTGTCAGCTTGGGAATAGAGTGCAACATGCTCATGTTTACTGCCACATATTTTGGCAATCAATTCGAAATTGAACATTTTCCACTCGACTAATTCTTGTCTTGCTTAGCTTCCTATATGCTACGCAGCTCCATTTTCAAATCCTGCATCGCTAGTGGTACTGGGGAACAATAAACTTTTGCGGAAGTGTATAACACTCTCAACGCCTTGAGATAGACCGTTTATTGCAATTATAAAGTGGTTCTCAATTCATTCAAGTCTGTCTATCCATCTATCCGCCTGTGTGTCTTATACTCTGTGCGTTAAACCTGCACGAGCAAATTTTACGAAATTTTGTAAACGGCGGCTTTTTGGCCCAACAAAAACCTCCATTAAAGGTGGTTCGGATCGAGCCACTTTTTTGAACACTTTCCATATAACTTTTTATCTTAAGTAGTCGTTACATGAGTAAAGCCATTAGGCGAAGTGGCATAGCGTCTTTAATGGTGAGCCGTGAACTTTTATAATAGTTTTCCTTTTTGTAGGTTACACTCGTGTAGCTACCGTTACTTGGCTATTCTTGCTTACTCAGGGACAAGGGCTTTAAAAGGTCTGTAGCTAATTTCATCAACACTATTCAGCAACTGTCGGGTATGAAGATGAACTTAATTTCCATAACAACTAAGCATTAAACGGCTCTTAATGATATGTAAATTATCGTAAGAAGAGGTTGAGCGAAAAAATGTGTTACTACCATCCAGCTTTTGTGTCCCTAATGGTAATGGATTTACGAGCCTCTAGTGCAATGAGAATAAACTCATATTTAATTAATAGCTAAATAAAACGGCAGCATCTGTTGTTGTTTTCTTTTTTTTTTATAAAAATTCCATATCAAATTTTATTGTAAAAGTACAATTTAAATATAGTAAATATATATCCATATAAATTTATTATAAACGGTTTTTTTCAGAGATATAAGTACAAAACAATACCACTTAAAAACGTTTCATTTTACTTGTTTTTTTTCTCCTTTATATTGAATTTTAAAAGGCTTTTATGTAAAAGTAAAGTTTTACACAATATATATATATATTTATATAGAAAAAAAAGTAATTAAGGCATTGTTTGTTAGTTTTACATTCAAATAAAAAAAAACTGAAACCACACAGTTTAAATTTACAGTTAATTTATACATATTTTTGCTATAACCCCAATAAATTATACGTTATACATCTATTTTATTTCTAATATTAAAAAAAAAAAAAAATGACGGCAAGGCGAATGTTACACTTCTTAAACTCCCTAAGCTCCTTAAATGTGTACTGGCTTGTGCAGTACATTTAGCGAGCAGATTTTAATTTCCATTTAAGGAAAAGATACGCTACACATCTTAAGATGAAAAATATAACCACTAAGGCTACAATATCGATGGTAAAGTCCGAGTTAAGCATATCCAGTTCCTCTAGTGTCGTAGTGGGTGATTTAAAATGGCAATAAGTTTGATAGCATTTGAGTTTCTCGCGATTATAACCGTACGTTGCCAATGCGGTGCCTTCGAAACCGTAACGTATATACGACACATAAGTAATCCATCTAAGGTATTTGGGTATAGCATCAAATGATACGAAAAAGCCAGAGAATAATAAGAAAGGCACCGACATTACAGGTGCCAAAAATACTCCGTTTTGTACATTCATAGCAGCACCTACTAACAATCCAACGGATTGCGCTACAAACGCGATTAAAAGACAAGTGCTTAAGAACATTGCAAAACGCGTCCATTCCAGCGGTTGAGAAGTAGTGTAATAGACTATCGAAACATAGAGTATACAGAAAATTGTCTGAAACGAAAGCGAGAGATTACTATGTAAGTTGAAGATATGATATCAAAATTTGGCTTATTTTAAATGATACCTGAAATGGTAGGTCGGCTATAGACATGGCCAGATAATATGATTTCAAAGAGTACCAACGATTGAAGTTCTCTTTTAGCAAAATCGGCAATTCAAGAGGAACTGCAAAGAAGTGGTTAAATGCAATTTGCGTAGCGGTTTATTTGCACACTTACATGCTAATATCGTTACAGTCATTGAAGTGTACATCAAGAACAGCATGTTAAAGAATAAAAAGCCCAAATTACTTAGAACTTTGCTGCCGTCATTACCGATGTCATAGTAAAGAGTACCAATCAAGAAACCAACCAACATATGCGCAAAGAAACGTAAATACATAAGTGTCTGAAAATAATTGACATTAAGATTAAAAACATTTCTCGTTAAAAAATATCCTCATTCCTTGTTTCTCTTTAATGACTCACCCAATCGCGAAAATTGAATAATAAGGTGCGTTTTAAGACGACAAAAAATTGATGGAGTTGCGATGTCGGATAACGTTCGGGCGAGGTTATGTCAGCGGTTAGTAAAGCTGTACTGCAATTATCATTTTTCTCCAATTCGATCATAGCATCACCTTTCTCATTCGTACTAATTACCGGTTCGGGTGGCTCTTTCGCTATATCATTAACCAAATTTCCTTTTAAAATGCTATTATTAAACGTTAGATTCTCATCATATCTTCCCGAAATAGTATTGGCTGCGTCATTCTTGTCTAAAATTGCCTTCAGATTTTGTACTTGCAATATATCGTTGCGTACTTTTATGCCAGCATAATCAGCTGCTGTTCGTATATCTTTTTTGCCATTATCTATGGCTTGTACTAGACGCTCGATGTGATCGCCATGTTCACCGCAAGCGACTTCAATAATATAACTGGCCGGATTATGATAGCTTGGGCATTCTAAATTCAAAGTCGATAAGAATGGTACCAACTGTTGCGTACTGCCTTGATATACGCATTGACCATCGGCCAAAGTGTAAAGTTGATCGAATTTTTCAAAAAGACGTGCTGACGGCTGGTGAATAGTGCAAATAATAGTTCGTCCACCCTCAGCTAACATTTTTAATAAACTAATACATTGAAAGCAAGTTGAACTGTCCAAACCCGAAGTTGGTTCATCGAAAAACATAATCGGGGGATTGCTAACCAACTCTAACGCAATAGAGAGCCGTTTCTTTTGACCACCGGATAGATTGCGCGTTAAAGTATTTCGATGTTCGCTTAAACTCAAAGTAAGGAGGATATCATCGATCTATTAGAAGAAAACAGATGCACATGGATATAATTTTTCTAAGCAAACTGAAGGAAAATTATAGTCCGTTAAACGAATTTTATGAATGTAGAACAAGACATAAACAACTTCGTGTGCGAATATTTATTGGTATTCTTGTTACAAACGATAGTGGGGAATTCATTGCACTCCTGAAAAACAAAAAGATGACACGAGAAAGGAGTTTGGCAAAAGGTTTGGATTGTGGCTGTCAAGTATCAACAGACCAGTTGGGATGCCATAAGAAGCAATACGGGAAAATGTTGGTCCATTATTAACTATTATTGTAGTCTGCGTTAATTTTATTGCGGGTCGAAAATTTATTTCCAATTTTCATCCCCTGGCGATCGTTTTTTCTTTGGTTATGTAATTTCCTTGGTCTAAATGGATTATAATAACAACAACAGCAAATTTAATGCAAATTTTTAGCTTTTTTTTGTAATGTACATTTTCAACTGCCCACGCATGAAATATAATATTAAAGGGACAAAGAAAAAGCAGAAAAAAATAGCAACTCCACTCGTTAATATGCGATATTCGAAGCTATTAAATATCGTTCCAAAACTGTTTCTCAGAACGCAAAGGGGAAATTTTTTAAGAGAGCATTTATTCAAACTAAAGTTCCTATGGAAGCGTCTTATCGGATAAGGTTTTATATACGAATTATCTTGAGCACACTACTCAACGTGCGCCGCTAGAGTATGTCAAGTATGTGCGGATGTACGCAATACCCAAAAGGACTTGAGATAGATCACTATTTTATTATACCGATCGATTGAGAATCACTTTCTAAACCGATTTAAGCTTCTTTGTCTGTCTGTCTGATGAGATTCGTCAAACTTTCATGATATATGTGGTAAGTAAAACAGTTGGGGGCGCATCTTCTGAGTTGTATTGTTAAAGGAAAGAATATTAGAAAGAAGATTGAGCATTGTTTGCTCTAATAAGTTCCTTTAAAGATTTTCGAACGTTTTATTATGCAGTTTACATTTGCATTTGTTTTGTTTTAGTGAAAGACCTTATAGAGAGAAAACATTCACGATAGATTTATGCAGTCGTAAATATTATACTTATTTCACTTGAGTTCAAGGAAATGTTTTAAACACAATAGATGCATCGCTAACTCTGTAAAGTCAATGACTTTTTAAACAGGTTTCATTATCGATTTGGAAAAATGTTTCAGTCATGGTAAATCAACACAATTATCTATCTAACACGTGACAGCACTGATGTAGATGTAGATATGGATGAAGCCTTTGCACCCATCTTTGTCACATGTACTACCGCTAGAGTTCGCGTGATTTCGTTTGCAATTTTTATAATCGTCGTTTAATTTGACGTCACATCTACCTCAGTGGCTATATTGACATTGCCAAAGCCTTATAACGTAAAGACGAATACATGTACGTGGAATATTTTTCTCTGAATGCTGTCCAGAAGAACAAACCTTCTATCAGGCTCCTACTATCGAATCAGATATGACCGCCTCCATATTACCAATAAGATGATTATTTATATATTTTGACTTGCAGTTTGAGGATTTATGTGCGATCTTAACTTATTTATTGAAAAAATTTACAAAGAAATCGCATATAAATAAAGCGGAGTACATGGAATATGAATAATATATGATAAGAATATGATTTCAAATTAACGTAGCGTACGATATATACGATACGATATACGACCAAAATATTGAACAATAATATTTTCGGTCTATTTTGTAGCCCAATACCTCGTACCCTGCCCTAATTGAACCATATACTATTGAAAGGTGTTCGAAAATTCGTCGCTGTCCGTTTCTTACTTATTTGCTTTTGCTTCTTTACGTTTGTCGCTATGGAATAACAATTAATATTGAATTTCAAACACATAACACTAGGAAAAGTTTATTCCTTTGTATCGTACTTTTTACTCCTCTTTATTTTCACACCTACCATTGAATTTTTTTGTGCTTTAGTGAATTTTCTGCTTAATTTTAAGTTTGTGGCCACTGTCATGGCTTCTTGGACGGTTAAGTTACTATGCAGTTGATTGTCTTGCATTATATAAGCGGATAATTTGCGAAATGCGCTCAAATTACGCTCATGACCATTCATTGTCACAACTCCCTCGATATTCGTAGTTCTAAAATGATGAAAAGAATTAAAACAATTAAAAAAAAAAAAAAATTAGAAATTAAATATACGTAAACTAAATTTAAGTGGAAATTTTTGTAAATATCTTCTTCTAACTATAAAACTAATAATTTTAAGTTAATCACCAGAGTTATTAATAGAAAAAAGAAAACAAGTTTTTCTGATATGTAAGGAAATCAACTAAGCCAAAATGGGAAGGTGTGTTTGTATAATTGGTCGATCAATAATTTCCGGGACTAGGAAACAAATTTTTTTTTGTTTTAATTGCCGACATAGCCTCCTTCAAGAGTATTAAAATCTGTTCAATGCTTTACTAATATTTTAATGAAATTTTATAGAATGATTTGTCGAGACTTTCAAAATAAATTCGAGCTTCCGCAAGAACCTCATCATTTGATTTAATCGATTGATTTAATATTTTCTCTCTGTTCTGTTGATTTAATATTTTCTTCCCTACTGTACCTCTTCACGGTTTGCAAATAGAGGATAATCACCAGATGTGGGATGTCGTGAATACGATACATGCGGCAGCAACTCGAGTTCCCCGTGCTACCCGTTCGGCGCACAGCTTTCTCATAGTCCATTTTTCATGCAAGATAGTCTATATATATTGTCTTCAGTTTCGAATAGCGAGAATAACTTTGAGGATTTAGTTGATTTTGTCTGGTGTAATCAGGCGTCCACTGCGCTCAGCATAATCGATACCCGTAAAAACTCGTTTACACTCAGCGAATAACCCATAAATTGTTTTCTACGGCAGAGAAGACTTTGCACATCCATGTTGTGTTAGAACAGTATATTTTCCCTCCAAAAGTAATGTTTTTACAAAACGCGAAATTCGGAATCGTCAATAGTTTCGAAAATAACGAAAATAGCGTCACTAAAATTGTTATAACTTGTAAAAAAATGGCGGACGAAGCTTTCATCGAAAATAAGATCGTTTTTTTTTTAAAGGTGATGTGTTTATGTAGTCCCTGTAGTTGCTCATCAATCTACTAATGTTATAGTCAATATTATTGGTGCAATTGAATACACACTCTGGGTAAAGCGATTAGTTCTCCTACGATATTTAATAATACGTATTAAGAAGCACTTTATGATTTAAAAGGTTCTAAAAATTTGTGGTAGTATCAACACTACCTTTGATATTTTCATAATCGGCAAATAGAGATGGAAAGGTAAAATTTTAAAATTGTCACAGCCGGGTATAATGTTAGAAAGATAACCTTTACTTTTCGAACGACTTTACTTAACTTTACGGTTTTTGTTCTTTTCGATCAGCTCTGATTTCCCATTCCTCTGTATCTTTCCCAATATAAGCAATCGAACTGGAATTGTTCGTTGACTTATTCCTAACTGAAGAGCAAGTGCTTTTTGCGTTTTTGCTGGATTTCTGTTCTGTAAACTTTCAAACGTTCACCTCCCTCAAGGCTAAAATTTTACACACATATCGCTGTCTCATAGCTGACTGCCTTCCAGTTACAGTTTTTTCCAATTTAAAAAAAAATAGTATGCAATAGCATTGACACCGTGTAGACAATTCCGTACAAGCATCGATGTCCAAATTATCTGTTTTCTCAAGCAATCAATTCAATAGGGAGGATTTATTTTACCCCTGTTATATTCGCATTTTTTCTATTTTCTTTCTTTGTTTACCTTTCGAGGTGTGCATCGAGCATGAACTGATTCAGGCAATTTTTGTTTCTATGATCGCTTTACGTTTTTGAATTTAAATGTGCCCTGTGTTGCTAGTCAGAGACATTAATTTGGGACAATATCAGCTGCAATGCTAGATCTACATTATCGACATTTTCTTACTATACCTGAGCTGGTCGCAGCCCCAGCATTAGTGTTAGGCCTATAAAATATTTCCTATACTTACTTACAAAGTCGATTACTCGTGCCATTATCACTAGCTTTGGTTACCTAAAATAGTACATTTATATATATACATATATATGTATATGTTGTTTTTGTTATTCTAAACTATTGACATACTTTTCTTTTTAAAGTAGTGGCATTGCGATAGGATTAGCAATGCTATTTAAGCAAACTGATTTGGGAAAGAACGGATGGGAACACCGCAAACAGTTTTGATAAGAAAATGACATTGAATCTGATTATTGAAGCCGTACGTTTTCGAGCCAACGTACTTGTAAAAGACTTTCCAATAGCTTTCCTTGGCAATGTCAATAGATTGATTATTCAGAAAAATTTTCAATACTGATGTGTGCTTTGATTTTCTTGTATTTTCTTAATATAGCTGAAGGTCGATCATGAGGAAAGTTTAATAAACCTTATTTATTGATAATCGAATTATTGATAAAGCCTATTGAGAAATATGACACAAAAAAATATTCTGAAATAATTTCCTTTTAATAAAAGATTAGATTTAAAAACATGTTTATGTTAATTGACAGGGGTTAGGTGTTGCTTGGTATTTGCTGCAATTGATAATCGGAAATATTTGTTCTGAGTACACAGAACAATGGCACTAACAGTCTGTTCACAATAATTGACCAATTAGTGTAGAGATAGCCTGGCTTGAAAGTCAAATTTGAGGGTACAACGCACAATAGACTTTTTTCTTTATTTAAAAATTATACCAAAAAGCATTTACTTACTTGTAACCAGACAGTATATTAAGTAAAGTGCTTTTACCCGCACCTGATGGTCCCATGATGGCAGTAAGCTCACCTGATCGTAGGCGCCCACTGACGCCTTTGAGTATAGTCTTGGCATCTGAAAATAAATAAAACAATATTTCAACGTCACTTTTGTTTTCTTTTTTTTTTGTTTTCGTCTTTAAATAAACTCACCAAATACAAGGTGTACTTAAAAGCTTTTAGTAAATATTTTTATACTTTTATGGGTTTTTAACATGTCGAGAGTTTCATAAAATATTTACTAATTGCCATTTATCTGTCAAGATTCAAGTAATTAAACATTGCATTATTGATTTTAAAGCTAACTGACAACTATATGCAAAAAAACAGTAAATATAAATAATAAATAAGTAAAGAGAATTTGAATTTAATTTGAGGTTTTTTAAACAAAAAAAAAAAAAAAAAAACTGAATGAGCCGTGTCGCCTTAAAACTTTGTAAAAGGAAATATAAAGCAACAGCTAACAAGTATTCATTAACTCAAGCAATTTGTTTAGAAAATGAATGAAATTTTGGATTTCTTATTGAGGTGTCAATTACTCGATCAGGAAATTTAGATATTTTTGACAGAGCCTTCAGAGAGCAAGATTGTAAATATATTTATTGTTACTGGTAAAAAAGATCGCATGCTATATTATTGTACCTTACACCAGTTGTGGTACAAGGATATAAAAAGTTTGTGTGGACGTATGCAACATCCGAAAAGACTTGAGATAGACCCACCGTGTATTGTACCGATCGATTCGAAGCATGTCTGTCCGTCCTTTTGGCTTGTTTTCTTGTGTGCGACCTACAGTCTGCAATCTTTGGGATACCACTGTGAAATTTCGTTCGCTAATATGTTTTGTCCATCCACGCGGACGGACGCTATTGAAAATGGTTCGAATCGGAATTGCTTTCCGATCACATATCATAATACGCCTTGTTTTGAAAAGTCGCCATATGAATAGCTGTAGGATGTTGTACGGGATTTAATGTTGGGCCGCAACCCATTACATTATTTTTACCTGTTTAGATAAAAAATTTGCACAGTTTTCTTCAAAAAATAGTGACACATGGTTTTCATTTTCAGCTTTACGACAAAGTGATTTACTTTTCAAAATTATGCAAAGTTCGTTCGGCATATCATACCATGTATTTTCTATTGATAGGTTCCCTTCACATCGCGAGAAACTAAGTTTAGTTGTCCTTAAGTAAGAGCGACAATAAGAGAGAAGATCTACGATTTGCATCCTCGCGTTGCCCAGACTATTACTGAACGTTTTTTTCGTGGACTTGCATCCGTCCAATGGTGGCCTAAGTTTGAATGGGTTAAGGAATGTTATTGAAAATGGGATCGATCGGCTCAGTTCCCTTATAAGGATATGCTACGCAATGTTGCAAGAAAAAAAGTACGAAAAATGAGCTAAGCATAAAAATTCTAAATCCTTGTAAATGTTTTTGAGCTTCGAATGTTCGTTATCCGCAATGACTGCATCGGCTGCAATCCATTTATATTCAAGTTTGGTAACTTAACGATTTCCGTCAATGAAGTTTAAATAATAAAGAGAACGTAAAGCTCTTATAAGGCCATTATCTATGGGTGACAGCCATTATTAAGTCGCTAATTGAAAAATTGATGTTGTATTGAAACAGAATGTTAGCAACAGTTGTAGACTAACTTTGTTTGTAAAAAGGTCAAATAATTATATGATAAAGAACTGGTTTGAACCAGCTGAGCGTTAAGTGGAATACGTTTCTTAATTTTAGTAACTATGGTAAGTCGATACTTTTAGAGAATATTAATTTGGTTTAAACGTTTTGCGAAACTCGAAAGGCAAATTTTTGCCAGTGCCAGTGACAGTGATTTTGTATCCAAAATGAAAGAAGTAAAAAAACACTAGAATAAATATTTTCAAAATGGCTTAGTTGTTACAACGCAAATATAAAATCGACTAACACTGAATCGTATAATTATCGACAATTTAAATTTACAAAATAATAAAATTGAAGTGGCCGGTCAATGGCCTTTGAACTGGCAACGATAACAATCAAACTATTGATTGCAAAATTAAAAACAAAACAAAAACAAAAAAGAATACATGCACACATATATATATATATATATATACTCTTACAATTGAAAGTATTTATTAAATTATTATGTAAATAAATAAATATATGTTATTGTTCATGCGATTCAATAATCACTGTCTCTAAGTGTTATATGTACGTTAGATATCGAGAAATATTGAATGCTCTCTCTATTCTAAGCCGTGCATGCTATGCAAAATTTGTGACGCGACTGACGACAAGAAATATACGTTTATAAAAAAAAAAACTTATTAAATATTCTATACGCTTCTGTCGATTTTCCGATTTTTTCCTACGCGTCATCAAAGTTTAAACTATAAAGTGTAGGCTGTAGAGAAATATAATAGATTCGTTAAATCATTTGCAACATAGCTAATAAAAAGACATCAGTTATATAGAACGAAATAAGTTAGCTCTCTATTGGGGAAACTCTATTGTTTTCCCCAAGAACATTTTATTTCGCAGGAAGACTGTAGCTTTGCTGAATAATTCTGAAAATTCCATCAATTCAATGATATGTGTGCTTATTAACCCATTTTATCTGGTAGGTACATATGGAACTGGAAATAAACGTTTATTGTATGAACATGGGAAAAGAAGAAATGTAAGAAAGGTGTTTTCTCCTGAAGCCGATTATTCAATTTTTACTCGAAAGGTAAACTCGAAATTATCGCTTACAAATTCAAAAGATACTTAACGTAAGTTTATAATAATTGATGGGGTACGTCATTGCTACAGTATATAAAACAAAAGAAAAATAAAAAGATTGTTCTCTGTATTGCCTCTCTCTAGCTATACATTCTCTCCATCTCTCTGGCAATGCACGGATGACGCGAGTGTTCTTTTCAGGCAGACCAACCATCGATCTATTTTCGTATGTTGAAACATTGCATTTGAAGGTTGGTACTCTCTAACGATCATATGCATTTTTCAATCGTCATGCAACGAACTTATTGAGAGTTTTTTTTTCCATTGTTTCACAACAACAACTGTAGCTTGTAAATTGATGGCCAGGAATCATATGAAATCATCAATAATGGCGACATGTATATATCATCTTATGATCTTACTCAGTCATTGCTGAACTTTACTAACTCAACTAAATTGCATCTCTTTATAAGATTATGTTGTATTTATCGGCTAATGTTCTATGCAACGATACTGAAAATGAAAATAAAAATGTAAGAAGGAGCATTTTTACGCGGTGAGTGTTAAAATGTGCGGAACGGACTGATTATTTTTACAGATCTAGGGATTGAGAGGATGATAAATTTATACGTATATCCTCCATTTAACCTTAGGAAACTCCCCACATCGTATACGACGTATTGATCGAGAACACGAAATTCGTTTATAAAATAGTCTCACCGACGCAATGAAGAGTTCGAAATTCGCCCTGTAAGAACATTGATCATATAAAATCGGCTATTAGAAAACACACTAAAACAGTCACAGAGAGAGAGAGCAACTCTCTCACCGAGTTATGATCAATTTAATTCATAAAAAACCATTAATTAAATGTCCCACACCACTTCGTTAAATACACTTACTTATATAACGGCTTTTTAAAATAATGCGTTATGAGAAGTGGCCGAAAAAGTGCTCCAATCGGAAGTATTTTCAAAAGCGTTTCTCCTTGGGCCAAAATATATCGGCATACCAAATTTAATCGAAATATCGCGTAAACTGCAGCGTGTACATGACATATAAAAAAAAAAACAAGACGGATAGACTTTCGTAAGTCGAGTATATATTAAAAGGTTTCTCTTTCTCAAGTCGTTTCAGGTGTTGCATACATCCGCACGAAGTAATGTACCATAAGCGTTGTAGGCCATAAAAAATTACATTTTATTATATATCTAAACTGTATTCAAACGAATGATTTCTTTGAATTTGTCCACCTGGATTTATTTTTATTGGATTTATTTAGATGTATGCAAGCGGGGAGTGTCCTAGGTTGCGTATAAGGCGAACAATTCTGCTACATTTTGAAATGATGATAATGTAGACAGAAATGTTTATTATGCAATTGTTTTAGGTCAATGAGAATGACTTGGCAGACATGTTTGTAATATTTAATTAGCGGTCTTTGCTTTTCTCATTCAGAATCAGACATTGTCAGCAATGAAATGACGAAAATTTAACTTGAAAATAATATCCACATTATTCGATTTAATTTTTTACTCATTGTGCTACATAGAAGGCGAATATCGCAATAATATTTACTTGAAGGGCGTAACATCTTGTCTCTCTTGTTGTAGTTACGTGTTACATGATCACAAACATTACTTTAATAGAAAATTAAAGTTTAGCAGATACACTTTTGGCTTCATGGCTTTACGGCTTCCGCAGATGATCAAATTGTGGAAACGAATGGAATTTTCATCTAATGTTACACTGCAGACATTGTTTTTCTTCTTCTTTTTTTTTGCCACATTAGTGACGAACCACTCAATGCATGTCGCCTATATCTGTGAAACGGTGTTGGTGTTGAAGAATAATGGGAAAACAGAAAGACGTTAGGGTCTGATTTGATTGGAAATTTGCTAGTTAGAAAGGGTGATGTTGAATTGTTTGGAAAAATGTATTCTATGTTACAACAGCTACACCCATGACAACTTCAAACGATTTGCTTCTATCATATGAATTGAGAATTTACCATCAATCTCCTCTTTGCTGTATTTTTCAAATGCTCTCTTATCCTAAAAGCCACAAATTCGTAGGCAGTTGCGCCCAGACATATGCTCGACTTTGTAGGCGATATTGTTGTCGCTGTAGCGACTTCGATGACGGATAGAATTATTAGCAACAAGCCTTTTTTGTTGAATTTATCCAAACAATGCATAGTTTTCAAAATTCATCAAAGTTCAATATCCGTTAAAAATGAAATCAATAATAAATAATTATTATTGAAAATTCAAAAGCCAATAATTTGTATATCCTCACGTGCGAGAGACGGTTTCTATTATTATTGTCGTAGCACTGGTAGTGCGGAAGCATTGTT